ACTTCCCTTTTCGGTCATATCTTAGATGTATGCGTATCGGCTAAAATACTGGTGTTCAGAGATGTCCTGAAAATGTAAGCAATGAAAAAGGCTCCATCGTGGAATATTGTAGTATTGTGGGAGTAACGCTGTTTAAATAGCGAACTGGCAAGGAACTGCTTAAGAAGCTTCTCAGATGTGCTAGAGCTAGTGTAAAAAAGACAGAAAGAGAAACCTGGTTGGCCTTGTTGAGCTGCTTTTTCAGGCCCGAAAATGACATGTCTGCTGCCGCTAGCGATCGCAATAGCCTCAAACACGTCACCAAAATCAATCTGCAAACATCAGAAAAGCGTATGCAATTTAAAAATCATTTTCGCGTACTGTATTTTACGATAAATTGGCAGACGTCGAAGAGGCAAAAGAACAGCAGCCCTAGAAAACAGGACGAACTTCAGCGCCGATGAAGGACCAAAGGGTACGGGAGAAGAGGAGCGAGTAATGCAATGATGGTACAGCAAAAAATCAAAAATTGAAACTGCAAAACCCCGGCGTTAATTATAAAAGAAGAAATTTTTGATTGAAAATCAATTCCTGACAGCGAATTGCATCAACTGGTTGTTGCTGAAAACGCATTTTCTGTCTTAAAAAAGCAAAGCTGCGGGAACAGGCTCAGGAAGTCTAGGAAGTAGACTGAACGCCCTGGCAATTCGATTTTGATTCAAGCTTGTTCACGCTCCACTTCCAGTGAAAAAACAGAAGAGTCAGGCCGCGAACGGCAATATCCCCAACAGAAGGTACTATTTCAACATCTTTTTCTGTCAAACAGTAATTGGCCAACGCACAGGCTGCCCGTGCGAAGATGCGTTTTTTGCATAGTTCTCCGCAGTTTTTGTCGCTAGCGGTACCGGTTTTTCCGGCAAATGTTTCCAGCTAAACAAATTAAGACTGGCCACCAGAACTGTCAGGAAACACCTCCTTAAAATTACAGTCTTCTAGCTTTTCAAATTGTCGAGTTAGCGACTTACTCGAAAAAAACTTTAGCGGACCCGTACGTGGGTGCCACGCGTACCCGGTGTCTGGGTTTGAGCTCACTGAGACCTACGTGGGCAGGAAACATCCCCTTAAAGTCTTCTAGCTTTTCAAATTCTCAAGTTAATGAACTACCCGAAAAAAATTTTGGTGGGCCCGTATTTGGTGCCACACTTACCCGGAGTCTGGGTTTGAGCCTATTACTTGTACAAGGAACATCCCTTTAAGATTTCAGCTTTCTAGCTTCTCAGGTTCCCAAGTTATCAACTTACTTGAAAAAAAATTCTC